TATTTGCAACCATAGTAAAACAAAGACTTATATTTTTGATATTTATTTTATTTATTTAAATGCCATTTAACAAAGAAAAATCAACCAAAAAAATGAGTTCGCGTGTCACCTCTGACACACTTGTCATAGCTTCGCCATCACTGATATAGGACGTTTTTTCGTCTTTTAGGTAATTACAACACTGCTTTTTCCATTGTCCAAGTAATTGACAAGAGTTGACTACATTGTATTTCTTATTTAATGTTTTCTAGGAGTTCCTATAAGCACATTCTTTCTGTAACTAAAATAAGGTAATTGCTAGGAAATTACACATGGAATAGAATCAGAAATAGAATTTATAGTGAATAATGAAAATGTTGAAGATATTTAATTTAATATTCTTGATGTTTATTGAAATGTCTACTGTGCAATGTTCCTGTATAAGAGATATAAAAATGAATGAGACATCGTCTAGAAGAGGAAACATATATGCAGCAAACTGTAGTTTGTAGAGACTGGTGTGCTACTGTGTGAATACTGTTTGAAACACAGGAGGCAGAGAGATTGATTCTCCTTTATACAGGGTTGAAGGAGAGGTGGAATCAGGGTGAGAAAAGAGATGATATTGATTTGGACTTTAAAGTTTCACAGTGGTTAATAGAGTCAGTTACAATCCAGAGGTGTGTGAGTAATGTTATATGGGTGAGGCAATAGGACTACACAGGCTGTAAGAGGAAATGGGGCTGGAGAGGTAGGCTGGGCTCAATACTGAAGAATCTCAAATACCTAGTTTGGTGTTTGGATGTGGCATTGGCAAACTAGGTAAGCCTTTGAGTGTGATAAATGTTTCAGAAAATTAATTCAGGGACAATGAGGAACATAGAGGGACTAGAAGAACAACAGTTGGGAATGAAATTGAAGATGTACAAAAGGAGATGCTTGTTTGGAGAGTGAGTTTCAGATAGCTGACACAGATGTGTTCACAGATGTGGCGTAGACATTTAGAAACATGGAAAACAGAACATAGAAGGGACTGGCCTGAGCTTTCACGGGTTTCAAAACTATCCTCGGTTCTAGGGTTTCAAATTCTTTTGTGATCACTGACTGAATCACTTTGATATGTTTCTTATCTACTGTAACATTATATTGCAAAGCCTATTGCATCATTTCTCCTTTCATTTTGGACTGTTGGTCCTTGACTTGTGATTATTAACTCAGAAATGGTTCTCTTGGAGGAGGCTCAGTTGCTGGTGTTATCTCGGCTTCCTTTCAGTGGCCTGTGTCAAGGGAATTTGTTTTGAAAGTAAAAAGTGTATCTCTGTGCTTTTGGCAAATAGAATCAAAACTCTATCTTTTTCTGCTACACTTAACACCCTTTTAACTTCTCAAATCCGTCTAACCTCTTCGGTTTCTGTTTTCTCTGTCTCGAAAGTGCATGAACCCGTGTGATTGTATCCTGGCACCTTTACTAAAAAAAGTACAAATGCTTCATCATGGCAACACTCCTAACTATACTTTTGTCTCTTAAATATTGGAGAAAAGCAGAAAAATATATGGCACTTGACTTTAATGTCTTGTATATAAATATGTGCTTGGTTTATTTAGAAACCTTAAGTTAGTGTTCCATAAATATTTAGTTCTTCCTTTTTAAAAAATTTTGAATAAGCAACATTTGGTACTTTATTGTGTTATAAATTAATGGTATCCCAACTGAAATAAAAATTATAATATTAATTGTATTATGTAATAGATTCATGTTTTGATGTGTTTAGTCTAAGAAAAATATATAAATTGTAAAAACTAAGAATAAAGGTTATTTCTCAGTATTTTCATATCTTTGCAGCTCTTTACACATAAAGCTGAATTTTTTCCTCTATTGCCATGTTGCATTTTGCAGAATGCCAGTGATATTCTTCATAATGGTTAACTTTCTAAAATAAAAATTAGTACTAAAGAGAAAACTAAAGTTCTTAATTAAAAAGCAGAAAAGTATACTGAGTTTTGAAATTAATAGGACTTTCCAAAGATACATATTTCTTATTTTCTAAGTCTATTTGCTCTGGTATTATTTATAAATGTTTTTGTTTATGAATGTTCACTATTTTTTCTGCATAATTAAGTTTTTACCTTAAAATCTTGAAATAATTCTAACCCTTCTATAGTGTACAAGTGTAGATTTCAGGCAAATTATCATTAGAGGTTGCATTAAATTAAAAATATATTCACACTATTTCTTCAACTGAGTCCTTGATATGTTTACTTTAAATACACTATAATTCAGTTCATCAAAAGTGATCTTCTCTGAATTGTAGACTTAAAGTATACATGGCAATTCTTTCCTGGAAAATGACCATGTGTAATAATTTTAACAATGTAAGAATGGAACCATGTGGAACATGTTTTTTCACGTGTTGCAAACAGATACAGGTTTTAAATGAGCCTCATTCTTCTGCAGTTGGAATACTTAAAACATGGGTGATGCTTGCATGTGGCTAAAGAAGTCAGATGATACCAGATTTATGTCAAGGAAGACAGGAGTTGAGGAAGCCAGCTTGTTCATTCGCATAGTGTGTGTGCAGATGAGCTCTCCAGTATCTACAACTCACTAGACAACATTTGTTTTTAGGTTCAATGGTAAATGGATGGGGCTCTGCATCTGATGAGGATCGTAACTTTTCTAGTCATAGATCTAGCGTAGGTAGCTCCTCAGATGGCTCCATCTTTGCCAGCGGCAGTTTTGCACAAGCTCTGGTGGCAGCAGCAGATAAAACTGGCTTTAGGCTGGATGGAACCAGCCTTACAAGAACAGGTTGGTAGACCCAGACTCTGGGTCAACACTCTGCATGACAGAATCTTGTCCTTTGGACACTGAGCTCTTCTGTCCTTTCTCCTCAGTGAGTCTGATTGAAGGGATTTCTTTAGTATGCATGACCACAGCTTGGATGCTTAGTTACCAGAACTCTCTTCTGATGCTGGTTTTGCAGAGCCAAGAATAGGCTCCTACTCATCACTTTCCAACCTTTATTTCCCTTTCCCTTCACGGTTCTGCTGATTAATTGGGATATGCTTCCTTTTTATATTACAGCAAAGCTGCAACTGAGATTGCCATTAAATTTTCAATAACTCACACTTTGCAAAATTCTCACAGAATCAATAATGTACCCAGTGATTAAAATTATTCAGCTTTTATCTTCATTACTTTCCTTTGCCCCATTTCTTTCTGCAAATGCCTTTTCTGGGAAGGCTTTCTCAGCATGGGGTGAATTGGTCTAAGGCTGTCAGTCTAACAATTCAAAGGGCTGGTGGTATTATTACTTATTTGGCTGTTAAAATGTTAATCCAATAGCATTGTTGTTGTTTTTAAGGATGCTAATAAAAGATACATCCACTGCATTTGCAAGTTGAAAAAAAATTATGACTATATGTGTGTAGGTTTTTAATATAATCTACTTTTGGTTTCTGATAATAATAAGTAATAATATAAAAGACCAATTATATAACCTTTCATATAGCTGATCATCCCCCCAAATAACTGTGGGATTCACTCAGTAATTTGTCATTTGTTTTACTGAAACAAAATAACTTTGGCATGATGCATGTTATTACATGACTATCTATACGTCTTAAATGAATATATAATAAGGTCCTAATATATAAATTAAACTTAGCTACCTTACAAAAAACTAATAAAATTCTAAATCCATTTTTCAAATCTTAATAGTACCCAAATAATAAAGTAAAAATGATTTTGACCTTGCACTAAATTCTCAGGTTATAAAAATGAGTCTTGGAAATTGTCTTTGAAATATATCAAGACTATTTCCTTTGAGTATGCATTAGGTATCTTTGAATGAAATAAAAAGATTATCCAAGCATTGCAGAGGTTTATTTTTTATATAGCATCTGTACTAAAATATGTTGTAATGTAATGGTTATTTGAATTCTCTTGCTTTATAAGGCAGTAAGTCAGAAACTTTATGTTGCCTGAGTGATTTTTGTGGCAGAGCTATAAGCAGAGCAGTGAGAAAGTACAAGGAAACTAATAATTAGAAGGCCAAGTGCATTTCTTGCATGTATGCTAATAGCTAATAAAACATTAAGCAGTATTATCTCACACTGACTTAAAAATATAACTACATTAACTAAATTTTATGCAACAATTTTGTATAAAATGAAACATGCACAAGAGAATATATATATATGCACATAAGCCAACCCTATCTTACCATAATATTAAAATTAAAAGATGTTAAAAATGGATAGCTAACCTTTTCCCAGAGTAAATTTCCCTACACATGTACACTAAGCCACAAGAAAAGGGCATAGCACATTTCATTTATCAATGAGAATTTGGAGTCTGCTCAGGTACAATATTATCCATTAAAAACACCCATTGTACTGTGGATATACAAGGTAGTTTTAACCTGCTCTCTATCCTGTACTGTACACTAACGTTATTGAGTTTCTGCTCAAAGAAGTACAATTCATCATGTATGTGTATGGGAAGTAAGGTCAATTTAATATATGTGTCTGAGCAGATCTTTCATGTGAAATTTTAGATGTGATTACAATAGGACATTTTTCTGTACTCAAAGAGAGTTTGTGGGACTCAAGGGTGAAATTTGATTAAGCAAATAAGACAGCACATATTTATTTCAGCTTCTTTAGTTTTAAGAAATAAAAGCTGCATGAATTTGCAAATACCTATGAAAATATTGCTAAGATTATCAAGGTTAAATAAAAATACAATCACATAAGATCATGTAGATTTGTTTTATATTTATTTGTTTTAATTTTTCAGTGGGTAGAATGTTGGTTATTAAAAATTGGTCAAGACAAATGCAGCAAGGCACACATTTTTCTATGGAGATGCACCAGCATCTGGAATCTCCAAATAGCATCTCCAGGCAGGTTTACAAGTTAGAAAGAGCAAAAAATACAAGACAGTCAGAATCAGTGTCTTAAAATAACATTCTCCATATCTCCTTCCCTTTGTTTTTTGTTTGTTTGTTTGTTTTTAGGCAAAGCCTTTACCTCTTCTCAAAGGCCTCGACCAACTAGCCCATTTTCTACTGACAGTAACACCAGTGCAGCCCTGAGTCAAAGTCAGAGGCCTAGGCCAACTAAAAAACACAAGGGAGGGCGAATGGACCAACAACCATCATTGCCTCATCGAAGGGAAGGAATGACAGATGGTAGGTTTGATTCCTTCTCTCCTGTCTCCTCACTGAAGAGCTATGCCGTGTGCCATCACTGATTGAGTTTAAAGTAGCTATGGTAGATTAGGCATCCCTCATTATATATCAAGGCAAAAAACCTGGAAATGTGGTCTTGTTTAAATTAAACACCCTCTTTTTTTTTTTTTAACAATCTGGAATTATTTATATATTACCATGCCCAAAGAAGTAGATGCCATACTACTTTTCAATGTTGATTTTTCTACCATTCTGGCATTACCCATTAATGCTTTATAGTGAATATTCTCTTATAAGCTTAGGGGAAAAACATCAGTAGCATGTGCATTTGCCATGTTGTTGGAACATTTCTATATTAAGGTAAGATATTTTAGATTATTTTACTTCTGAAAAAGACTATTATTTGCAATTTAGGAGTTTTTTAGTTTTGTGAATTTTAGGACTTAAAGCATGCTGCAGATTATCCAGTTGATGGGTCAGCAAACTTTTTCTGAAAAGTCCAGCTAATATATATATTTTTGGCTTTACCAGGCCATATAGTCTTCTGTTACAACTGCTCACCCTGACATAGATGCCCTGTTGCAGCCAAAGAAAAAAGTTACTGAATGGATGTGACTGATTTTCAATAAACTTTACTGACAAAAGAGGAAGTGGCTGAATTTGTACAATGGCCCATAGTTTGCATCTATTTTTGAGTATTTGCTTAACCACTGCTAGTTTCAAGAAACACAATGGAAAATGTCCTTGTTCTTTAATGAGTAATGCATGAGGTCTGCAAAGCAGGAAGTATTTCCCATATATTCAACTTAATTCTCATATTTTAAAATAGGAATAAAAATATTCATTTTAAAGTTTTATTCTCAGGAATATGTATGATTTATTATACTTAGTATAATGTTGAACCCAAAGGTAAATTTCTTCCTTCTTCTGAACACTACTCCCTAAAAAGCACATAAACTTTGTCATGAGATAGTTTTACTAAACACAAAAAAGGATAACTCTAGCTAGGCTGCACATCAGACCATCTGGGGAGCTCTTAAAATATATCCCAGAGATTTTGATTTAATTCTTCTGGGATGAAAAGCAGCTATGAGTATTTTTAAAGCTCCACAGGTGAATCCAATATGCAGTAGGCTTTGAGAAGCTATGACCAAGTCCTTAGCATTAATTATAGGACTGAATAAGGCTTAGTTGGAAAAGAAGTACTTGTTCTTTATTAGTTTTGGTGGGGGAAGGGGTGTCTGACAGCAATTTTTGTGCTTTCTATTGTCATCTTATAATGTTAAGATTTTAAAGCTAAACATAACTTGTTTTAAGAGCTTTCAGGTTTACTTATCTATCTACTTTGATTTCATTGGAAAATATTTCTATGGAATCTGAGGGTAGGGGTACAATTGAGATTTTGATTCTCTATAAATGGATATCCTGTGGTGAGGAAAAATGCTCGCTGACTGCCTTTCTACCTCAGATGTTCTGAAGATTAGTTGAGTGCTCAAAGCAGCCTATAGTGTTGATCTTATTCCCTCTGAATAAGAAGGATTACTCTAACTGACATGCTAGTTATAAATCTCAGAATTTGTGTCATTTTTCTGCTATGAATGTTATGGAAATAGAAAAAAATCCAAGTAGATGTTTTTTTCTGTGACTTTTTCAAATTGTTTGAAGACCACATCCAGAATATGTGGAAGATACAATATAAATCAAGAAAATAGAGATCTCTCTTCTTTATTCCTAGAACACTTTTCTTGCAAGCTTTTTTAGAATGTCTGGTTAAAGAAAACTATCTCCTAGTTAAAACATGCTCAATATATGGCTTAGCTTTTTAAGAAACAAATAGCTCCCTAAATTTTCAAATTTGTCAGCATTCCAAAAAGGGGTTATTGATTATGTGTTCTTAGTGAATACTTTTTAGAAGTAGTGATATTGAAAAGGAAATATTGGCTCACATATCTTCCCAAGTGTTTGACCCAATGACATTTTAGTTATGATACAAGGACATTTATTTTGTATGACACTCCACAGATTATCCTGAAGGATATTGGTATTTTACAACTAATGTATATATAATAGCATTTATATGCTATGAATCCATGTATCAGTAATAATTTCATAATATCTAATCTAATAAAAGAGAAACATGCAAATTGACTGTACCTCTGCTACACTCACAAGCCATGCCCACAAGCCAATCAGGAGCAAATATGTAAATTAACCCAACTAAGATGGCGGTGGCCTTGGAGGTGGAGTGTTGCCCCCGGCAATGGAAGAAGCCAAGCTTCCCGCCTGCCCTGCCGGCCCTGAGCTCTGCTCAAGGCTACAAAGTTTCAATTATAGAAGATAAATAAATCCCAAATACCTGCTTCCAGCCTGCCCTGGCCTCTGCTCAAGGAGGGGCTTTCCACTCAAGGAGGCACTGAAAAAAAAAGAAAATAAGGAGAGGCTGGGAGCTTGGGTCGCCGGGGGGGCGTGGCCAGCCTGAAAACAGCCACCAGCCCCTCACCCAAGCTGGCCAGGCACACCAGTGGGGACCCCCAGCCTGAAGGGGTTGTGGCCAGCCTGAAAATGGCCCTCAGCCCCTCA